GTGTGTATGTGTGTGAGTGTGTGTGTATGTGTGAGAACGTGTGTGAGTGTGTGTGAGTGTGAGTGTGAAATGAAAAAGGACCTGGAGACACAGCAGTGCGGAGTGGCACTGCCCAGGGACAGCAGGTGTGTGTGGCGGGGGCAGGAGTCGGGGGCTCTTTCTTCAGGGGCGTCAGGAGACCTGAGCTCGTGCACAAATGGGTGCCTCTCCCATGTTCCAGCTCCTGGACACACACCATGTCTGACCGACTCTGCTTCCAACCTCCAGGTGCGGCCCTTGGTGCCCGTCTCCCGTGCAGGTGGGCGCGTGCCCTGTGCACCTCCGCCGCCTGCAACCTCAGCCCTGAGTCCGTGACGATGCCGCTGTCTCCCAGGCCTGCTGTAACAAACGGCCCCAAACCGGCGGCCCCAGACGCCAGGAATGCATCTCCGGTCTGAGGCCAGGCATCCAAGATCAAGGTGCCGGCAGAGCCGTGCCTCCTGGGAGCCTCCGGAAGCACCTGCCTGCCTGGCCTTGCCTGGCGTCTGGTGGCCGCTGGCAGCCCTGACGTAGCTTGGCCTCCAGAGCCCGGGTCCAGCCTCTGCCTCCATCACCCCGTGGCCTCCTCCCATGTCTTCTCTCTCCAAACCTCCCCTCCTAGAAGGACATGGTCGCTGGGCACAGGGCCCGCCCTAAACCTGTAGGACTCACCTCCACCTGATCCCACCTGCAAATCCCTGTGTGTAAAGGAGGCGCAATCGGAGGCCCCGGGGACGTGCGTTTTTAGGGAACAGCGAAACCCCAAGTGTCGTGAGTTCTGGTCTTGGCACTGCAGGTGACAGCCGCTCTCCAGGCACCTGTGCGTCTTACCCCGAGACGGCCCTCGCTTGTAGCCACCTGCTCTCATGTCCTACAGGCCAATGAAGACGCATCGTCTCATCCTATTGGCGCTGTGGGGTCTGTGTGGACGCACTTTTCACACCCTTTCCCACATGCGATTTCATTTGGTCCTCGACACTCCCATGAAATAAACAAGACAGAACGGATTGTCCTCACTGAATAGGTAGCAAAGCCCAAGGCTCAGAGAGGTTAAGTCATTTGCCCCAGGTCACACAGCTCGGATCCACAGCAGAGCCCCTGCCCCCAGCTGATGCTCACTGTTCTTCACGTGACTGTCACAAGGGCCTAAACCTCCACCTGCAAACTCAGAGGCACCAGCACCAGGAACCTGGACCTGGGGTACTGTCCCCCCACTTCCCCTGCCCCCAAATGGGAACATCCCTGCACCCCCGATGCACCCAAACGGCTCCCGACAGTAACTACAGGCCTGGATTCTAGGTCAAAAGCGCGCCCTCCGGAGCCGGAGTCGGCGCCTGGCTGCCGAGCGCGCAGTGACGCCTCCGGTGAGCCACAGACCGGCCGGCTTCATCGCGAGTGAGATTCAACCAACGCGAGTACTTGTGGCCTCCTTGCTCACAATTAAAGCTCTATTACTGATGCCCTTCGTTTCACGTGCAGGCACAGGAAAGGCCTGCCCGGCAGAAGCGACTGGGTGGGGCGCCTGGGCCTGGGACAGGGTCCGAGAGGTGGCGCGGCCCCAGGCATCCCTCCCGCGGGCTCCTGCTGACAGCTCTGCCACCGGCCTGTGGCCTCCCAGACGGAGGTGCCGACTGGTGACACTGGGGCACAGGTGTGGCGACCCTTTTCCACTTCGGGAAAATGCCTCCTCTCCCTCGCCTTCTTCCGAAATGGACAATTGGGACA